TGTTGATCGCTTAATCCTTCAAAGCACTCCCAACTTCTTGCCCGAACAAAATATCAAAAAGCCTGTCGTCTTGAAATGTATTTTGGACCGCTTTTATGATTGTCTCCACTGATATGTAGGTTCTCCTCAGGTTTCATGGTACTATAAACTAACGAGAATTACAAATTCAGCCCAAAATCTTCAACCAGAGTCTATCTGTCAGTGAGTTTGAAGTTAAATCGATCAACTCAAATGTTGATCAAATGAATATTTTTTGATTGCCAAGCTATCAAGGCACCCTTGGATGGATGAATTTATTTGAAGGATTTGAACCAAGTGGTGCATTTCGGTGATCGCGAAACACCGGTGGTGAATCTGCGTGGTGAGAAGTTGTTCGATGCATGGAGTGATATATTCCGTGCTCGCCCAATGATGAATGTGCCGTTGTATTCGTTCAATCGAAGAAACGTTTTTGAGGATAACCTATGGTAACCTATGATGACCTACATTAAGACTAATCGCCAGACTATCACTAAATCCAAATATTTTCTTAAATATTGACCATTATCTCATTTTATCCTAATCACAGCTGCTTGTGGTAGCCTGGTTCAGTGCAATACTTCATCTGAGAGAGAAAAGAGCTGTGGAAGCTTTCACGCTGATCTTTATGGCAGATAATTCAGCTGACCATCTAAAATTAAAAGCACTTCTTAATTCCTCCTCAGATCTTGATCTATCATGTAATATGAACAGCTTATTTGTTTGATTTCCACATTCTAAGATTAAAAATTGTTTGGTTAAGGCGAGAAAAGAGGATTTGGCACGGCTCAGACGCTAGCGGTACGCGTAGTGAATCTGGCTATTGTAACGCATGGCGTTCTGGTGATAAATTACATGTGGGCAGTTCATCGCCTCTCGGACCAGGAATGCCTTTGTTAGATGGTTGTCAAAACATCGACTGCTCTCATGAATTCGCTATTCTTTGTGTTGAGGTCAGTGATATCGCACTTTAAAACCACTTTTATTTCAGACACAATCTGTCCCCTCCATGATAATCATCTTTCGTGATATAAATCTACAAAAGGAATCTACTTCAGTCGTTTCTCACATGAACACATGAATCATTTCTACTCATAATCTGCCATTTGTAATTCACTTTACAGTAACATTTTCAAGTACTTTAGCACATATCCATTCAAGATACATTTTGTGAGAAAAGATCATTTTAATAAACGTTTATTCTGAGCAGATATTGAAAGATTTCACGAATTGTACAGTAATTCT